GACCATTAAATTTCAGGGCTCACAGAAACCTAACAACAGGGTGCCAGCCATGCTCTGTGCACGGTCAGAGGCTCTGGGGGTCTCACAAGCCCACCCCGCCCGGCGGCAAATGCAACACGCAAGAGTGAAGTGTGAGCATCAGGCTGAGCCCTCATTGTAGACACCACTTTGCCACCCCGAGACCAAAGGCATGGCAAAGTGATGTCCCTATAGGAGGATGGCAGGACGGGACCCCCTGAAGCTCCTGCTGGCCTGGCCTTCACTGTGCTTTTGGGGGACCCGCCACGAGCCAGCATTATCCTACACACGGGGGGAGTATCCACACAGGGCGAATGAGACAGAGTTCCTAACTTCACCAGGCTTCTGTGTGGAAGGAGACAAACAGTACACAAAACCAAGCAGGACATGACAGGGGCCCCCCAGGAAACATCGAGCAGGTGTGTGTGGGGGGCTGTTGAGAGGAGGTGGCCTGGATGGAGGGCACCTGTCGTTCCGCCTACACCTTGCCTTGGTCTCAGAGCTGCCATTGAATTGCCTCTGGTGATTCTCTAAAGCCCAGGGGAAAGGCGGTGCCTTCAGACAGGACACGGTCCCTCCATCGCTGAGACCCTGGAAGCCGCTGGGCCCAGTCAGCCTCCTCCAATCCCGGGTTCCCTGAAGCTGCCTTCCCGCCCGTGAGGGGCCAGGTGTCTGATTTATTTATTTATTTATTTTTATTTATTCAATATTTACCAGTTTCTCTGGAGCAGATACCTGTTAGAGCAGATACCTGTTAGTGACTTCTACAGCTTTCATTGTGCTTGTTTTCAGCCTTGAAAATATAAGGAAATTAAAACTATCTCTTTTTAAATTGAATTTATTGGGGTGACATCTACATATATAAAAGGCTAAGTGACTGACCGTACGTATGTCCAACTGACCCACAGGCCAGTACATATGACACACATTGGCAACTTAAAAATAAATGTTGATGCGCACATGTGCAATACATATAAAGCTCTCTCTGGCACCAATTGCATGAATGCTTTAATTTTATAATTCTATATTTATATATACTATTTTGACATGTAATTTTTTGCAGTAACGTAATTACTGCACAAATCTTTCTTCTAGTTAATTTCCTTTCAATGAGCACGAATTTGTGTACCAGGCTGCTAGTTGGTTAATGAAATCAGGTAGGTTCAGGGGTGCTATTCTATAACACAACACCTGTGTGTCGCACTGTGTATTCACCGCCCCAAGTTA